GCCGCCATCTTCGATCCTTCTCCCGGCGGAATGCGTGGGATCGGCATCTAAATCTCGATTATTGCCTTTTATATCGCTGCCTCTGGCAAGAAAATGACATTCTTTTATTCCTCGGTGGGTTAAAAAGCTAATAAATGAAGATTTTCCGGCGTATGGCCACAAACGTTTATTCAGGCGAAAAAGAAGTCGGCCCGTAGCAGACGACGCGTAGCCTCAGCAGTGCTCTTCGCCGACCAGTCTCCGACAGCGTTGCTCAAAAATGGCGGTCGTCTCCTCTGTGCTCCCTTCTTTCTTTCTCGCACCTTCGGCGCTCTCCTCCCTTTCATTTACTTTTCTCCTCTCCGGCGCCTTCGTCGCCACACCCACTGGCCAAACTCTCGCAATATACGGCTCTGGACGGGAGAACACAGTTGAGCCATCTATTGGGTAGCGGAAGAAGACTTGGCATTTCCCTCTCTTTATTTTTTAAGTGGAAGCTGAAGCGGAATTTTGTACTTAATTAAACACACTTGAGTCGTCTGAATCTGACCTCTAAAATCTCAATATCAAAATCATTTTTTTTTTTTTTTTTGAATTTGGTGCATGGAGGCTTTAGAACATCATTTGCAAAGTAGCGCTGAAGGTCCTCCTTTCCGGAGCGTGACGTCACAAGAGGAGTTATCTGGGATCTCCACTCTCGCTCATTTGTAGTGCCTGCCAAAAACTATGCACGCGCATTCTTGCTATTTTTAAAAATGGCAGAAAAAGATTTCACGACTCGTACAAGTGCAGGGGAATATTGGCGGCGTGCGCGACCGAAAGCGTCGCTGTGGTCGGCCTTCCACGATTGGCCCAAAAGCTGACTGTGACGTCAGAAAGGGGTATACCATCAACGAAAATAAGAGGAATGAAAGAACTTTAATTTCGACGGTGTTGGCAGTGTTGCTTTGAGAGCGCAATGATCTCAGGCTTCCACCATGCTATTTACAAACAGCATCGAACTTGTTGTTCGCAAGGTAATGACATCACAAGGGGGAACCATAGGAGGGCGCCACCAAAACATCTTGCCGCTAATACCTAGCAAGCTTGCAATTGCACGCGCAATCCTCACGGCACGTGCTTAGCGGCCAAAAGATCCTCTTATGACGTTACGACAGGTCGTTTGTTTTTCGTCTTTCTCACTTTTAGTTGAATCTTCCTGGAAAACGAACGTGATCTTCAGATTCACTTGATAAAACTACGCTAGAATCAACCACTATATCAGTTTTCGAAATACATTTTTCAGCTTCCTATTAATGCGCTAGCATAAGTACTAACGTGACAGGGAAAAGCTGGCGGGGTTCGCCTGCGGACAAAACAGTGCATGCAAATGGAAGCGCGCCGCGTGGATGAGAGCAGGTTAGTGGAGGACAAAGGCGAGAGGGAGGCGACGTAATGGGGCTTAAACCAATGCGCGCGCAGGAAACCGGTGAACAGCCAAAGCAGCGTGAGACAGCGGATGCCGCTGCTAATCGTGCGAGGCGGGAGAACGAGACTGGGGCGCGGAAGCAGCGCATAGCTCGGCTGGCCGAAACAAGGAGCAACAAGCAGCAAGCCGACGCGGGTCTGCGTGTGACAGAGACTGGGGGCGAAGCGGGCTCGGCGAGCTGGCTTCGCTGGGAAGAAAAGAATTAAAGGAAGATGCATTGGTGGATTTTAAGGGAATACGTTAGCATGAGCCTTGGGAAACGCCATACACGTCCCCCTTTGGGAAACACTAAAACTGAACCCGTAACAAGGCCAAAAAGAACCGGCAACAACTAGAAAAAGCAAAAGAGAAAGTCAAATGAGAACACCAAAGCAGAAAAATGAAACGATCAGCTTTAGCGCTTCCCAGAAGGAGACGTCTGTGGCGTTTCCCAACGGTTAAGCTAACATATTCCTTAAGGGTCCACCGATAGAAAATTCCTTCTTTATTCGCGCACAATTATTTATTTGTTTTTATTTGACAAAGTTCGAAACGAACATTGCTCATAGATAATGCGTACATTTGATCTCGTAAATACAGCAACACCTTCGCTCTAGTCAGGTGCAGTTCCTGCGACATCTGTTAGATGGCGCAAACATGCCACTGTAGGTTCTTGTCGTAAGAGATCACAAAAACACGTTCGTATCCGAACGTAATACTGCGAACGGGCCTCTAGAGAGAATGATGACGGGCTCGAACCGTTAAGCATGTCATCCTCTCTTCGGCTGCAAGACGTCACGTTTCCGGGAAACATCAGTGCGATCTGCGATGTAAGAACCGGAAAGCCATGCCCTTCCAATCTAACGAGGTATGTTTCTTTGTTCTTGGACAACCATACTGGACTGGTACTGTAATCATTGTCACCTGGAGTCCGATCGCAGCCGACGCTACAAACCGATGGGGCCAATCAAGTGGCGCCAGAAGTGTATCGTCACAGCGCTCGTTGTCTTTGTGAGTATCACCGGCTTAACCAAACACTGAAAGAAAGAAAGCGCAAGATGTCGGCGCATTCACAGTGCGTGATTGTTTAGTTGGTGATAGCAAACGAAAAGAGACAATGGCCGATAGGATGACACACATCTAAATACTACTGGATTGGCTCAATAAGATGGTAGCCTGAGCTGCAGTCGGTTTGGGCGTTGCAAGCTAGAGATGGCAGTAATGACACTATTGTAGTGGAATTACCGTGATTCAATCACCTTTTGGAGTAATGAGTAATGTAATGAATTACTTCTCTAGGCTAGTATTTTAGTAATGTAATGCATTACTTTCAGGCCGTAGTTTCGAGAAAATTACGTATTACTTTTGAAATTACTTCTGTCCTAAATTAGAAAGTTTGTTTGCAAGCTTTAAAAAAGAAGGAGAAAATTATTTTCCATGGCGCCTTGTCAAAGAGCATCGATTATTTTGCATGGTGAAATGTTGCGAAAGAGCATCGGAGGAAATAAACGACGGCCACCTGAGCGCAAATCGTTTTACGAAGAGCTGTACAGACGCACAGAGAACGTCTGAAAAGGCGAGGGAGAAAAGCTTATCTGTAGACGCCGCTGGAAGGGCAACAACTTACGAACTCCAGGCACGACAGATTCGCGGCGTCGCGTCATCAGGACGACGCTATGCTTCGTTTATCCTTAAGCTGACAGTGCGTTGGGAGCTACAAGCTAACCAGAACCAATCAAACACCTTCCTTTAATCACCTGTCCCGTCCCTTTCTCTGCACGTGGCTATGAACAAGAGCGGGGTCACGTGGCGGACAATAGACGTGTGACCGCTTCAACATACAAGTAGCTTCCACCGTTCACCCCTAAGCTGGCAGTGCGTCAGCGGAGGGATGAACGGCTCATAGACTACAAGGCGACTGGCACATCACCAGTCAGTTAAACATGATTTAAAACCTGAATGGGCAGAACAAACAGATCCATAGCCTTGTACTTTCGTCAAGCAAGGTCAAACCGTAAGCTTCGACCATTGTGAACAACAAACAACCGGAATAAATAGGTAACTCCAAATGCCTTGTCAAAGCCCCAGAAAGGTTTCGTGCGTCCTCGAGCAAAACAGGTGCCGCTCGTGGTACGCCTCGCTGCCTTCCCTTGGGAAGTTTATTTGGGAATATGCCTACGAGCGGATATCACCCCCCGTTTGTTGGGAAAGTACAGAATTTAGGAAGCTCGCGCCATTCCTCAACTGGCGACGCTTCTGCTTAGCAATTATCCAGGCCCTTTGTGTGACAATGCACAAAAACTTGGGCTGTTCGGGTGTTTGGGAAAAATGCTCCTTGAAAGGAATGACCGAGAATAGGCTCTTGGGAGAATAGAATTAGGTTGTGTGCGAGGCGGAAGAGAAACGTTTTACGTGACGGCGAAGGACGAGCTGCTATTGGAAGACTTAAGAAACGGGCTCGGACTACAACTTCTAATTCAGGAAGACGGAAACATATCCCCCTTTTAGTGAGAACCTTCACCGTTGAATGAACAGCGAAACCGGTGAGTCGACTGTCTTTCTGAGTCACATCTAAAGAAGCTATTCGTCATGTTTAACACTTATGTCGTGTGCGCCAGTAAAGCCACTGTTCAGTATGCTTCACTTTGAGACGCGTAAGGCTGTTGCGGTATAAGCGGGAAGGTCTGAGTTTTGGTGTATATAGACCAACTCAGCTCTTTGACGTCACATCACTGCGGTGGCACTGTTGTCGGCACTGCGCATGCGCAACGCCTTGCCTCTCCATGATCTGGTTCCTGCACACGCGCTCTGTGTCAAACGAGGGCTTGTTTTGTAAACACTGTTGGTGTATACAGTAAATAAAATGAGCCCGAATTACTGCCTCAAGGTATTCAAAAGTAATCTGACAGTAATTTAAAAGTAATTGCATTACTTCTGGAAAGTAATTCTAATGTATTGTCATTACCTTTAGTCTGCGGTAATTTGTAATGTAGCTTAATTACATTTTTGCACTTTTCAGAGAACTAATTAGTAATGTAATTTCATTACATTTTGAAGGTAATTTTGGCATATCTGTTGCTACCATTGCATAACAGACGTGTGTCCAAGTAATTGGGCAGGACGAACGAGAAATGTATAGCATTGAAATATAATATCCAGGTGTTATCACATACCGCCTCCATCTGTTAGGTAAAAATAATTAAATAGAGCTTCGCCAAGACGCCATTTTAATGTAGATTTTTGGAAGTATCGTAGAAAACAATCCTCCTCACTTCGGATGCATGTTCTAAGTTATACAGACCATCTACTTTACCAAATAATGTTATTGTGCAAATAAACATTTTAATGGATGCACTCTGGGAATAAACGATTCTAAGTATTCTTTTTTTTTTCAGAGCAGTTTACAAGGTTTTTGAGTAAACAATCATTGAGCTGCTAAAATATTTTTATTTGTGCATACCACCACCCTGGAAACACTAGAAACTCATCAAGATTAATTGGACGTATTCTAGCGTACTCTCAACCGATTGCCATAGTGTGCAATGTTGCGTATCTTGATTCTTCAATTTTCAGTTTATTTGGAACTGCATGTACCTTCATCGTAGATTTGGTATTTCTTTTGGTTTGCGCATTGGTTATCGTATTCTTGTTTGCATTTATTGATGTTCTTATTGTCGCTTGTATCGCCTCCGGAAGTTAACGCTTGTGCACTGACCCAGAGTTCACATTCTGGAATGAAGAAATGGGAATATTATCAGCTTTTTTGTTGGCTTCCTTTCCATCGCAATAATGTTTTACGCGAAAGAGTAAGACCGATTATTATTTCCGTGGACTTCCCAGGTATTGATATTGTCCACGCAAAATCTTTTAAATAAAGACTCCTTAAGGTTCACAACCAACAATAAAACAAGTAATGTTGATAAGAAACATATAGCCTCGATGATAACTTAATTTTTCATCTGCCACATGTAAATTGTTATGAGCAAATGAACATGTGAGACAGTCACGCGCTAGCTTACACATACCTAAAGAATGATGTTTTATGTTCACGTTAGAATAGTAGAAAATATTACAGTATAAACACGCTCGCAATATCACATGAGGCCAATAAGCAATAATGGAACAGAAGCAAATTACAAGATGAGAGCAATAAATTCATCTGAATGTTTTCAATGTGTAGTAGCCGTTCAGCATCCGTAGACAAACTTGAAAGGGTTAACATTTTTGTTTCATCAGTGAAACAGAGCCACAGGGCTGAGTCTAATTATGTACGTCAAAAACTAGGTGTTTCCTTAAATGTGAAGCTGACGGTACGCACGAAAATAAGTATATCATGCACAACATAGTAAACATTTTGGGCTCTTATGAGAGATTTCTCCGCGGAGCATATAGAGCTCAGAATACCTAACGTTTCAAGGAGTTCTCACGAACTAAATTCTAATTCATATAAGCATAATTGAGAGTTTGATTTGAAAACAAGTCCGGCGTCCCTGAAGCCGAGTGACACTGCTTATACATCACACAAAAGACAGTCTGCATACAGATTCGAAAGCTAGTTACCGCGAGATCCGTGCTTCGAATGCCGCCTGGCAATGAATTCAAGGATGAAACTTGGCACGCGGCATTCAAACCATGGATATTGCGATGACTAGTGTTTGCAGACTGTCTTTTCTATGATGTATGAGCGCTTTGAGCCCGGCCTAGAAGTTGGCAAAAGAAATATATGATTGCATTTTATTAAAACATTCAGAAGGTTATGTTAAATCTCTTCATTCTTCTGTATGCCTTAACAACAGCTTGGAAAACGTGCCGTAATCGAATCACCAATTCTCACCAGGGTGATGCAGAGGAGAGGTGTTGGATGATTGGTATTTGTACGTATACGTGCGATCCCAACTTAGAAATGCGTAAGACCGTACTTCGATATTTTTTGCAGTAATTGACTATGAATCATTTTTTTTATATTGTCCAGAAAGTATCGAATCGAATCTGACACGTCGGGACCGCGATAGAGATATCTAATCCCGGAACGATGGGCAACAAAGCAATTCCAACAAAAATTTGAAATCTACGTACGTCATCACGAATAGCCCCCAGGGTAGAGTTCACACAAATTTGTTCCAAATTATTAAGGCACTGTCCTCATTGAGAAACCAGATGGACCAATCTACCCGTCGACACGAGGAAAACGCGTTTCTGGCGACCTTGTAACATCCCAAGACACTTCGATGAGTACATTTTCAGCTCTCGAGTTATTCCGTTCGTTGGCGGAGGATGCTGTCGCCAGTTCCTTACGTGTGCTGCTCTCAGGTGTCATGTTTTGAGAAGTCATCGGCATTCGAACGCCCAAGGGCAAGCTGGGTTTGCTTCGAGGAGTTTGGAAAGTTTTCAGTGTACTTTTCGAACATGCTTAAGTCAAGTGCCGCACAACGGAAACTACGCTAAAATATCTTAAAGGCCACATCGCTGATGGTATCTCGGTTACGTGTCCGTACTCCAAATGCCACAAAGTTTTTGGGGTGAAATCATCGTCCACGGCACTTTTAAGGAGGGTGTATTCACGAGTGACGCGTTTCTTGGGCGACGGAGCATCGCCTGCAGAACCGCTTCAGGTTGAGGACCCTTCGACTCCATCGACTAGTGCGGATTCTAATTAAGGGTGCTGTTACGGTGACGCGCACAGCGACAGCGTCGAAGTGTTCGATCTTGGGACAATCCCGCTGGCTTCCCCGACGTTTTGTCAAGCTTCAACCACCGCAGGCTTGGAAAATACACTCCCAACCACTCCCCAAAAAGAAAAAGCAAGTTCTGCGAGCGGAGGAGCGGAAAAGCAAGTTCTGCGAGCGGATACGTCTCGTCGAGTCGGCCGAGTGGCGCGAGCACACACGTCACCCTTCTCTCCTCTCTCGGCTTCTGATTGGCCGAACGCACCACAACGCTTTGGAAAGTTGAGCGAGTCTCTACTCGCTTGCGCGACGCTACGGAGCGTTGCGGGAAGGCGCGCGTCGCATCGCAAGCGACCGCTCCTGGCCGCAAGGACTCCGCAAGGCACTCAAACGCATTCAAACCCGAATGTGCGTACGGGCCTTTAGGCTCATGCTTGCCAGTCCATTACTCTTCGCCATTCTGTAGTATGCTGCTGCGGTAGCTGGAGTCGACCGCCTTGCTCCAGTACCGGTGAAGAACAACCTTAATTCAATCCTCTTCTTCTTCCGTCTACGACTGCGACAGTAGAGCCGCCGAAACAATGACATTTTTGTGCACTGGACAAAATTGATCTTGTTCTTGGGAGTGCATCTCTCTCATTGCTTTGAAGAAGCGTTCACTTTATTGGACACACTTTAGAGCTTGCGTGGAGCTGAGAATACCCAATCAACGGTCACTTTTTTTGCTACTTTTTCAGTCCATGGGAGAAGTTCTTAATATAAGGCACAGCAATACCTCTCTCTAGGGGACGTTGAGTGACCTCCCGTATTTTCATATGTTTGCGGAGGTTTTCTGCGATCTACGTTAATCGGACACTGGGGTACGCTGCTGAGGACGCTGCCTCAACGACCGACTTCGCGAACACAACAAATACATCATTAATGCCAACTTACGACATCTACGTCTGCACTGCCGGGATTACGGGTGTGCGGCATAACTACGTAGTTGCACCGTGCTAGACCGACGCAACAACCAACTAACTAGGAAAATAATTGAAGCGAAGCAGGTAGCCAAGCCTGACGATGGATGCGTGAGCAGCCCATATTTCACCTTACCTGCAAACTTGCCTCATCTTAAGAATATAATAGCGGACTATTTTACAAATTTATTTTAATAATCGGATAAGAAAGCGAGGACAAAATAATTTAGAGATTTTGTATTAACGATACGTAAAATAAAACGACGACAATATGCAAAGAGTTGTGAGTTCAGCGCTGCACGTGTGTGTATGTTTTTGTTTCTGTAATCGATAGAGTGCCTGTTTGCGAGACGTTTATGTGCTCTGAAGTCGTAAGATGGAACGCCAACTAACCCAAGCTGCTGTTTTGATAAGAAGTCACATTGTTGCTTGCTGTATGAACATCAAGGGCCAGAAAGAGGCTAGGCTATTTTTATCTGTGCCTGTGGTCACCGTTTAAATTTAGTGTAAACGAGATTTACAGTGCACCATTATTTTTCCGACGCAATAGTGGCAGCATCAGCTGCTGGTTTTTGACCGTGAACTTTACGGCCCATTTTTTACAGTCATAGTGGATTGTATTTCGAACAAGATTTGATTTACCGGACGGACAAAAATGCAGCTGTCTGTTATTTGTTTGAGAGCTTGCACCGCGCCTGAAATGACGCCTACCTTCGGGCATTCGGGCAAATTTGAAGAATAGACAATTGGAGGTCAAGCTCATTGCCGGACCCGTCGTACCGCTTGTCAAAATGCTCTTGGTCGTCACCGCCGCTGGGCATTACAAAGATGAGCGAGCCTACATAGATAATCAATACCGGACACCGGGAACGTTCGGTATGGTGCATGCCAGGCAATACCCGCTGACTCACTATTTGACCGTGAAAGTCATAAACTTCATCGGCACTAATCGCACACCTGGAGTAGAATCGTCGGTTCGCAGGTTGTAAAACACGCGTTGTATTGTTTCCATGAAGCGTCCTATCTTGTCGCTGCAATTAGTGGTGATACATCGTAATAATGTATATTGCTTCTTTGTGTCTATTTTTAATATAAAGCGCAACCAATGCTGTGATGTGCAGAAACTACATGTAATAAAAAAAATTAACAACGTCGGTAGAAGTTTAAATTGTGAAGGCCGCACTACTTACTTTTTCCGTCTGTTCCCGAAACGACAACCACGTCACAGGTTCCGTAATCCGAAAAAACAAACTTATTTTCAGGTGCCGCTGCTGTCGAACAGACATAATAGACATATATTAGGAACGGTAATCGCCGCAGACCCAGATAGCTTAAGAAAGGCATGGTGTGGCTTATTCTGTTCAAGCTTCTCGCTTCCTCAACGTTCTTGTCTGCTAATGCCGAGATCTGATTGGCTCAGGACCAATAATAAGTAGATACTTGGGTCGTGCCGCACCCTGCGTTTCTTAAAGCTTTCACATACTATAAGCAAATAGTTTAAAAAAACACTACCTTAAGCTTTTTTTAACTCGCATTTTTAGCAAGTTTGGTCTCATGAGCTTTTAAATATCCCATGGATGCTGTCAAAAAGCTTCATTCATAACTAAAATAATTTTTTAGCAAAAAAAAATATTTCCGACAAGCTGGCACCATCTAAAGGCCAGTCCAAACAGGACGCTACAAAAAGCGTTAAGCCACCCGACTCCTTGAAAAATCGGCAAAATTTAAGCGGGCGCTTCAATTTTGGCGATTCTAGATAGAGTCGTGTCGACTGACAATTTTTGTGGCCAAGCCAACATCACGACTTTTCTCCTCGCCTCCTCCACTTTTCTTTGACGTCGGTGCTCGTCAGATTTGACATCACACGCCACCTACCGCTGGTGTTCTCTCGCAGCTCGCTGACGTCGCTACCGCCGTCGCCTCGGCTGAAAGGCCAAAAAAGTCCGCTTCGGGTGGATTTGGGAGATCCCTGCGTCGAAGCGCACGTTTCGCTTCTCGCATTAAAAGGGAACGACACCTTCGCGTCGTTCCCTTTCCCGTTTTCGGGACTTGAAAAACGGCGGAGGTCTTGGGCGATTGACCGACAGCCAAAAGAGCCTGTCAGTAGCTCGCCGGATTCACGTCATAAGCAGATAAGGAGCGGCATAAAAAGCGCCGTAAAGGGCAGGGGCGAGATTTTAATAAAAAAAACTCCCCCCTTCCCCCCCCCCCCCCCCAAAAAAAAAAAAAAAGACCGGAAGCGGGCCGTCAAACGATTTGTCGGGGTCGAGTTGCCTGACGACTTTTGCAGTGCCCTGTTTGGACAGGCCTTGTGGTGCAGTTTTCTGACTTTCGAAGGCGTTTATCTCGATTACACTTTTAATGCGAAATTATTAACTGTCTCATGGAGCAAAGCCGGCGGTGTCTGGGACCGCGGAAAACGGCACATGAATTTCGTCTGTAGCAGCGAAAAACGGCAGCTAAATTCCCTCTGTAGGGGAATTAGCTGCCGAATTTAGCGGCTATGAATATAAATTGCGGAAATTATACCATATTTAATAGTAAATAAAAGTAAATGTGCGGTATGTGCCCAGAGAAGCCCTCTTCCTGGTTTTGCGGCCCACGCGCCGGTAAGAGGGAGAGGGGGCGCGCGCTTGGCTGCCGCTTTTTCCCCCTTTCGGGTCACGTGTCAGGCGTGGCGGGAAGGGGGGGAGGGGAGCAGAGGGGGGGCGGGAAATTTTTCCTATTTCTCCCTACGCACAACTCTGTCACGTGCTCTACGTTCTGCATTCAGCCTTGTCGCGCCAGTCGGCTGGCATCTGCGGAGGACAGTGGGGCGCACTGCTTGTAGGAATGCGTTGCATGTACTAATGCTTTTGCAGTCCTACACGTAGACGATATTAGGTGCCCTCTTGTAATATTTTGCAATCGAATCTCGGTTCGGGAAAACAATAAAATTTCATAGGGACCTGATGTGTGTGGAGCCAGTTTTTGAAGTTTCTGTACTCAAATTTTGTAATGAACGCGGCTGTAAGATTACTCTCAATATTTTCATTGTTTTTAGTTATGGAAAGCTGCAGTTGATTAAACCTAATGCACGCAAAAATTTTAAACCTTTACACCTTGACTTTTATTTCCTCTTAAATGTCAGATAATTTCTGCAATTTATTCTCAGAGCCGCATGACAAGGGTGTGATGCTGTATGCTTCACCGAAGGAAGGGCTCATCATCATTAACTTTTCTGATTGAGTTTTACTCAGGGGACACTGTGTTAGTTTTTGTACTTTTACGTAACTATTGACCGATAAAGTTATAAACTTAAAGTTTTACATGTAATTTTCTTTCTCACTCTAAAAAAAGCCTGTGCATCCGCTTTCCCGCACAACACTTGGAGAGCCAATCACGGCAACTTACGAAGGCAGCTCGGTGAATGACGATGGTGAAACATATGTTTAGACCAAAAAATGTAGTCTGAGTTGTGACATTAAGCAATGCAAGCGTGACGTTTTGCATTGCTTAATATCACAACTCAGACTGCGTTTTTTGTCTAAACATATGTTTCGGCATCGTCATTCGCTGAGCCGCCTCTGTAAGTTGCGGTGGTTGGCTCTACGAGTGTTGTGCGGGAAAGCAGAGGCACGGGCTTTTTTTAGAGTGCTCAGGTATGAATCTGCCCCGCAACTTTCACATAAAACTAGAGGCACATCCCCAAATTTGCTTTCGAGCGCGGTGCGTTTAGAAGCGGCAAGCGGAAGCGTACCGTTGCTAAGAGAGCTTGTGCCAAGCTTGTACACACAGTTGCGTTGACACGCAGTCGACTGCAGTCAAGAGCCAATAAGAACGCGCTACTGTCGGTAGCGGCTGAACAATAACAACCTTCAAGGTAAGATGGCGGCGCCCGGCGACAGCTTCAAAGTTGTCGATCTTAAGACAATCTCGCTGGCTTCCACGACATTCTGCCCGGCTTGAACCACGCAGCCTTTGAACAACTTTGCTCGAGGCGTTCCCCACAGCTGCCCGAACGAAGAAGTCGCTTCCGTGAACGGAGAACCGGATCCGCATCGTCGAGTGGCGCGACCGAACACGTGAGCCTCCTCTCCTTTTTTGACTTCTGACTGGTCTATCGCAACACGCTTCCGGTACTGCCGCGTCCAAAGGTAGGGAGTTTTCGTTGACCGCGTTATCCCCCTCCGCTAAGCCCTCCACAAAGAAGAAGCCGCTACTGCTGCGTCCAAAGATGACCCGGCCTACCTTGCGGCGCGTTGCGAGGTAGGCGGACCGATGCGCGACGTCGCGCATCGGTCCGCAAGCAACCGCTTCTGGCTGTAAGGACGCCACTCTCCACTCAAACGCGCGTAAACGCGAATGTGTCCTCGGCTGGTTCAGCCACTTTCGACTGCTTAAGGACCGTACCTCTACAAAATCTCTAACGGCGAGAGTAGGGTGCCCTGATAGCAGTGCCCTCCCTGCGGAGGGTGAGGACAATATGCGTCGTCTGCTGCGGCAGCCGAAATTACGGCACCCACCACGAACGGCCGGCATGCATAGCGCAAGTCATTAAAAAAAAAAAAAAAAAAAAAACGCACTTCTTTACAAGTTTTGTTTCTGAGACTCTAAAAAAAGTACAGCTGTTTCTGCTGAAATCTTTATGACATCCGCGAACAAAGGTCAGAAAACGTTGCAGAAACGTACGCAAAGGGTCGCTTGTGTAAAAAAAATATAGTAAACGTCTTCTTTTTATCACTCGCTAGTTCGCGTTCAAACCTGATCTCCGATTGCACTTCATCGGTTTTGAGTTCAATGCTATGTGAACAATACGTTGAGATGCATTATAACCTACAAAAACTAAGCTAGCTTGATCGTTGTCATAGATTGGGGATCAGCAATGAGTTGACCTTGGCAAACCCATTAAGCGTGCGGTTTCCTCGTGCCGCCTGTGTAGGGTGGTAGTGGGCCTATGTGTGCGGCAGGGGGCGCCACCATATACAGCATGTATGTGTTGCGCTCGACTCGTTCAATGCTCTCTGGTCTTTGTCGGCATTATCGAGCTCTTGCTTGAATTTATTCAAAAAAAGATGGTGTGAGAAAGTAAACATATGTGTAATCGAAAATATGCGGACGGAGACCACGTACGATAGTGAAAAGTGCCCGTGATGTGTATATTTATATATATACATGCTAAAGCAAAAATTGGTATGCAGGAAAATTTTAATGTGAATTGAATTCCGGTGTGTCCACATTATTAGAAAAAGAAAAACAAACTGCCGTGCGACCTAGGCTTGATGCCTGACTAGAGGATTATTGTAGTTGTTTTTTTCTTTTCTGGTAATTATTTCGAGATTAACATAAGTGTGGATAATATTACTATTGATTAAGTGCTGAATAATGATTCCCATTGCTTTGACTGTTCTGAACAATGACTCATATGGAGTATACATGCATGTATGCGCTGAACTTCTGAATAAAGGAGGAACGTTTCCATTGCACGTAAAGTGTTCCCGTTGAAATAGACGTATAAAAACACTTATGCGATGACACTGGACGATTGTCAATACACCTCTTTCCCTCGACAAGGGTAAATAGTTCTTGGAGTTTGTGGTCAACTGTTTTCGTGGTGGATATTGCGGGATGTATGGATCCGATCAACAGGCGAGAAATAACGTATTTACAGGCTTTGTTCGTCACGTAGGCCGCTAGTAGAGGGCTGCAGTCTGTTGCTGCAATCTCGGGATAAAACGGACTCTCGTTCATAGGAATGCGTGTGCAACTGAGTCTCCATTTGAAGCCTGGCAACATTCAAGTTTTTACTGGAAGGTGAATAAGAAGCTTACGTGCCATTATTGAAAGAAGGTTTTTTGTGCTTATGTTTTCTTAATACCAGTGATGGGTACGTTACTGCTGAAATCTAACAGTGCCACAGTTACAGTTACTTATAGGAAAAAAGTAGCCCTGCAACAGGTAGTTGAAAAAATTGAAACATCAACATGGCACAGTTACATTTATTTCGCTAAAGTAATGCCGTTATTTCCTCGTTACTTTACAAAAACAATATTAGAAAACATTCGAAATTAACCGGTCTTAATATGCCTTTAAATTAATTTATATGCTTCTTAAAACATTTTGTTGTTCACGACATGAACTTTGATTTCTTAAGAAATTAATATTTTCCCAATAATCAATAGTAACATATTTGGTTTTTCCTATTTATATTTTTACCATGAATAGCTCCCTCATCAAAATCTTAACTTCAGACAACATTACGGTAAATTTACTATATGATAAAGGATTTATTCTATCTTCTTTTCCAAATTTACAGGGGGCTTTAGTTCTTTTTTCAGATGTTAAGCCAGCAGATATTTGCCGATGATCCATGAAGAACTTTAAAATAAGCGCGACAACTATAACGTATAGACGAATATAAAAGCACGCGTCTAGGTCACAATTATATCCAATCATGGTGCGAGATTACAATCGGTCAATTCTAATTTAGGATATCTTTGGTGAGGAGTACTGGGATAGAAGCAATAAAAATCAGTGCAAATTTGAAGTCAACAATAATATAAGTTAAACCTTGCAATCAGCTTTGTAGATGTCTGCTTAAGCCACACCAATCCACTCGTTGGTCAACTTTTTTTCTACTGCGTGCGCACAGTCTTTCATGAAACCAGAAGCATTGCTTAAATAATTGGAGAGCAATGTTACGACAACAATCCTCTGTCGAACCCGCTGAACACGGCATCGGTGCAAACGAAGATCTGATCGAGGTACAAATGACCACAGCGCATAGAATTCTAAACGGCTGTTGCGATTGTTTCTCCGCCACTTCCTAACGAGATGAGACACGTTTGCACTCCTCCATCTCACCACCCCAACTAGAAGACACCACCCGGAATGCCCACGACGTGAATATCTATAAATCAACCCGATGCCAAGTGTCCTTAATCCCGGCTAAGGGCGGCCTTTCAAGTTCAAGGAAGCACACAAACAAGCAGAACGACACACACGTTTTCGAGAGAATACTTTTTGTCAAGAGACGGGACGCGGGAAGCAGACGAATGGGCACAGCAAGTTGGTGACGGGAGGCAAGGCCGGTAATTGGGTTGCAGAAAGAGGGAAGGGAGACCAAATGGGCCTGAGGTCGAAATCCCTCAAGAGTGCACTGGGGGTTGGACGATTCAAATTAAAGGGGAAGAAAACGGATGCTTCGCCGCAAAAGGACAAGGTCCGGAAAATCAGTTGTGCCGTAAGCCTGCGGGCGTTTGAGTTGACGATCAACAAAGCCTGTCCTTCACAAAGAAAAGAGAAGCGCTTTAGAGATGCCCCGCATTGTTTCATCTACGTGCGCTGTAGGCCATGTACCATACACATGGAATACGGATACAAACGTCCACATCCTTCAGTTCGCGGACCAGCTTGGCCAAGCAGCGACACCCAAAATATTGTTCACTTTCATATTTATTTTTTTCCCTTATGGTACAGATGACTTCTGCAGCCGTTTTTGCTAAAAACGAGACTAATTACCTGGAACACGTCACTAGTGACTAGTTACTGCTCAATACTGATTTATACTAAGGTTAAAAATGCGAAAGCATTAACTGTCCCATGGAGCGAAGCCGGCGTTATGTGATGTTTGTAGCAGCGAAAAACGGCACCTGAATACGCACTAGATTAGCGAAACGGCACCAAAATACCCATTGGCAGAGAGGAACGGTACCTAAATTCCCATTTTGACTCAGTGAAACGGCACGTGAATTCCCATTTGCTGAGCGAAAAGGAACGCAAATTCCCGCTGGCTGGGCGAAACGGCAGATAAATTCATACTGACGGCAAAGGGGAAGCGCCTCACAAAAACTAAAACACAAAGAAAAGCATTGTAACCCAGGTGCCTCGTCACGGAAGCCGTGGAGCCGGTGGGGGTTGCCGCGCCTGTGCAGTGGGGGAGCGTATGTCACCGCCGGAGAGCCGTGTGAAGAAGGGAGACGTGGCGCGTTGCTTGTAGGAGTACGCTGCGTGTACGAAGGCTTGCGCCTTCCTACACGTAAGCAGTCTTAAGTGCCTCTGCTGCTTTTCTTATTGCCTTTACCACTTTCATACTACAATACTAGCTGTATTAAGGTAATAATAATATTGAATCAAGCATAAATTATATTTTGTTCTTAGGTAGCTTGAGCTTAATGAGAGATGTGGACTAGTTGGTTGGAAATATTAAGTCAGCTTAGTACCCCTGCCAAACGAAAAAGTTAACATATCTTCAAGAAATAATATTATAGGATTGAATCACCTTGCGATCCTGAGTAAAGATACGAAAATCGCAAGCTGATCTGCCAAGCCTGCAAAGTTACTCAATGAAAATTGTATTAATTTTGCAATGTGACCTGTGAATAATGATAGAATTCAGTGCCTGCATGCGTTTACATCGCTTCCACGATTGTAAGTGACACCTGTCTAGCCGTGTTTGCATTGACTATGTCAACATTACTTTTATCTGTGATCTGTTTTGCTGCGTCCAATCACTGCGTTTCTCATCATTTTGCCAAAGAATTTCGGTATAAAATAGGCATTCTTGCAGCAATAATTACGTGACTCAATGTTTTCTATTTAATAAATTCGCATTTTTTTTGTAGACCCCTTATACGCATACTTCGTGCTATTCCTTACCGATTTTTATGCGGTGTAATATTTTGCCCATCTAATAAAGTGCTTTCTAGACCAGTTGCTCTGTACACTTTTTGTTTTAGCTAATAAGAAACGCTCGTATTGTTACGACGGTCGATCCACGCACGTTGCCTTCGCTTCGGCGCTTCGGCGCGCGCCCTCAATGGCCTTCCTTGGAGACGTCACGAAAAGAGCGCTACGGCCTTAGCTTCTATTGGGTGTTGGTCGGCGCCGAGGCCCGGGGTACCGGCGACTCGTGCCACTTGACAGCTCATGCAACCGCCGACCGGTCGGTTTTTAGTTTTGTTTTCGGAACAAAAGAAAAATATAGAAATGAAGATAGAAAATAAATTACATTCTATTTTCATTATGCGCCGAAGGCGTTTTATAGAAATTACTGTTATATGAAAAAGTTTTCTATTTTAATTTTTACTTGAATGAGAGCGCTCCACCAGCGAAGCGCCGCTGTCGGTAGCGACGCTATTGACAACGCCACCCATGGCGGCGACGCTATTGACAATGCCGCCGAAGGCGGCGACGCTAATGTGAACGCCGCGAAACTCGGACTTGGACGGGGGGTCGGTAAAGCCCCGACTCCTAATGCCCCTTCAGGGGCATAAGGGGTCGGCAGGAGAGCGCGCATCGAGGAACCCTGGTGCCGTATTTCCGGTAGCCGTATAACATTTGCGGTTTTCGGTATATTTTCGTTTCTTTTTCGCACATCATTCTTTCCTCCTTTGATTGAAAAACTATTGACAATGTTATAAAATATCATTTTGGAAATACAGTACGTACATCTGATGTTGCAGATACCGCAAAACCTTCGATTGAGTAAAATTCAGTTCCCAGGATTACCTCATTAATGGCGCCAGCGTGCCAGTGAGTTCTCTCGTTGCAAGATATTACACAAGAACTCGGTCCTAAGCAGATGCAGGTGTGTGAACGGGACCTTACACGGAACGTAAAACCGCAATAGATACTGTGCTGAGTAAATCTACACTCTCAGAAAAAAAAGGGTATATCCTTACACCCCTTGTCAGATATACCACACCCCGAAACTTCAGTTCGATGTAGAGGGCGCTGACGTCGAGCTGTCGTTCCCAACTTTAACAGGCGGCTAGGTAGCCGAGTGGGACAACTTATTGAAATAGCTAATGTACGTGTTATTGACTACAAAAAAATGTTGTTGCGGTTTTCTTGGTATTACTGCAAAACCTCAGCGTTTATTTTCTGTAGTCTTCGATATGTTCTTTAGCTGTATAATGTAGTATATCTCACCGTACTCGAGCACCTGGTAAAATTTGAGGCCGTCTGTTCGAAGTCAGCACTTTGTGCGTCGAACTGAAGTTTTGGGGTGTCGTATATAAGACAAGGGGTGTAAGAATATACCGTTTTTTTCTGAGACTGTACTGTGGGATATCTAGGTTTTAAATAAAGTAAGAGATTCCAGCTTACATGTGTCACCTCCCTCCGCATTGCCTATTCGGATGGTGTCGCCTCCTGAACCAGCCACCGTGATACGCACGGTCTTTTCTGTCCTAAATTATAAAGTCAGTTCCTTGTAATCAGGCGAAGCAAAGAAGGGTAGCCAAGGGCAAGTGTATACTTACATTTTGCTCGTGTTAGGGTCCTTGTATTTAATTGTGCTCGTCGTGGTCTTGGTTCCTTCGTTTGCCTCGGACAATTGTATGGAGACACATTTCGCGGTGCCTCCGAAGCCATCATCATTTTCGGAGGAACGGTACATGAGGTAAAAAGCGCCAGGCAGAGTCACAGTCTGCAAAAAAAGATATTGAAGAGAATCACTGTCTTGAGCTGCCTCCCCAGTGCGGAATCTATACTTCCTCCAACACTCTAAACATTCTGCAGCCTCTGCTCTTCCGCAGAGCACCTAGGAGAGCCATCGCTGCAATCTATGAATGACGGAACTGATCATATGTTCAAATCTAAAGAAGAAAACTGACTGCGCTGTGGCACTGAGCTTAAAGCTTCACCTGTTTAAATGCCACAACTCAAACTGCTTTTTTTAAAAAAAAAGCTCGAAATGTTGTTTTTTTTTAGCGCTACCCGCCATTTCTAAATTGTGTCTGTTCGTGCGTCCACCTGTCTGTGCATTTTCCGCCAATTATAGCGGGAAAGGTGTCGTCATATGACGTTACCTCACGTCACGTGACCTACACTCCTAAGTAAAATATACGGCACAACGCCTATACGTCAACTAAGTTTCCCCGCTACATTTAGCGGCAAAATTTACCTATTGTGGCGAAAACATCAGTTCAGTTTCACCTGCTGAATTTAGCTGAGAATTGACGTCACGTGACTCTTACACCAGCTCAGCCAGTTGATAAATAGAGCGGGAAAAATCACGTCCTGTGACCCAGACACCAATCCAGTTTCCCCGCTTAATTTGGAGGGGAAAGTATAGTCATGTGACACACCAATTACTTCACCAACTCCCTTAGACATCATGAATAGACCGATCTCACTAAGCGTTCAGCGCATGCGTGACGCCGCCATAACTTTAGTTCACAGGAGGCAGTCGGCCGTGCATGCGAGGGCTTGTGCCATCTTGTGCTCCAGACGCGCAGAGCCCTTTCGGGGTTGTCGCACGTGCAGAAAGACTAAAGTTCCCTCGATGCTTGGCGGAAGCGGTGCCCTAGTCTAACTGGCTGGCGAGATCGGCCTATTATAGAACCTTAAAAATAAAGTTGCTGCTAATTTAAAAACAAAAAAGTTTCTTCTGCCGGAACATGTAATCTTGAGCTTCAGAGACATGGGCCATACGCGACCCGCCACTCGACTCGGTTGTCAGCATCGCTGTCCGCCGTTTACCATGGCAAAAGTTTCGCGCCATATTGTTTTACGAAAAGGGTGTTGCACCTCGTAATTTCACAATGTTAAATCCATCAATGAAATACACCGTTGACGACCAGTTTAGGTTGCTAACTGCAGGCGTCGATTTTTATGGCTTATTTTAAGTTGAGCCTCCGCATTTTAGACACCCTATATAATGCGAGTCAAAAAGGCACAAACAAGACAACTCTGACATTTTTACTATAAATTTGTTAGTTTTTATCTCTTTTTATAAGATATAGCATTTAATTTTTCCCAATATTCTTCACATGTGGGTACCGTCTGTATATAATTTGTTGGTCTAGTAGTTTATAAAGACACTTTTTACAGCGCTTCAAACATGTCCCAAGGTCAAAAGTTTCGAAACTTCAACGTGCAAATAAAAACACCCATCTTTAATTTAAAAAAAAAAAAAAACATTAAAAAATTAAGTGAAGCATTTTAAACCGTATCGTCGTGTTTTTAAATTAAAGACATGTTGCATTACTTTGTCTCCATCTGAAATATAGCGCTTCGAGACAGACACGTTTGGCTACATTGACATTAATGCAATATTTTTATTAATATCGTACCGTTTTTAAGCTTTACTGTTCGATTTTTTTTAATATATTTTCCTCAAAAGGATATATCATCTATATATAAATTGATGTTTAGCTTATGAATGAAGCTACTTATAGTGCTTCAAACATGCCTCAAGGTAAAACGTTCCGCAACTGCAACGTGCATTAAGAAAACAACTTTGTTTTTGTTTTTATGTAAGCGAAGCATTTTACACAATATCACCACGTTTCCATAAGAAAGGCATGTTGCATTGCTTTATCTCCGTCTAAAATATAGGGCTTCGAAAAGTACACATTAGGCTACTTTTACATTTCGACTTCCTATTTGTGTTTTTTTTTTATTTCCTGGTGTTTAAATATATAGCATTAGAATATTTTCTACTATTGTTCACATAAGCACCTATCATTTGCATATACACATAAGTTGTTGCTCTAGATTATAAGCAAAAATAACAGCGCTTCAAACATATCCCAAAAAAAAATAAAAAGTACCTCATATTGAACGTGCAATTAAAAACAAATCTTTGGCATATATATATAGGGAGTTTCACGAAAGGTGGACAAATTCGACATTGCAAAAACTACGCGTGGCTACAAAAAAAAAAGTGGTGTCGTTTTGGTCCTGGGCCAGGGGCCTATTTAGGAAAATCCTTAAAATCCGAAATAATCAAATTGTTAATTGCTTTTGCGTAATTAACTTATTAAATATTGTGATTGAGGGCATGGTTTGAATTAGAAAATTGCTCCGCGTCATCGAAAAACAGTAAAGCAACAAATTACAGAACGATAGAAGTCCCGCGAAGCATTTTACGGCTTTCTGAAAAACCTCACAAATTTGACAGGTATATAAGTTTCGGTTTGCAATCGGAGCGCATCTCGGCCCCGACGGCACCGCGCCCCGTGGAGAAATAGTAAAACCAGCTTCTGCTGCGTTGTGGGAGTACAGCGCAACGCAGCAGTGTGCGCTGTCCTCGCGCAACTGCGTTGCAGCTGATCACCAGTAGGGATGTCGCGAACCACCCTAGGTTCGATTTCGAAAGGTTTCGATATTTGCGAAGCGAACTGAGGTTCGATTTCGAAAAATTTCGATATTTTCGTACCGACCGAGGTTCGATTTCGAAAAATTCGCAACTTTTGTCCACAGCGGAGTTTCGAATTCGAAAATTTCGAAGCTGTCACGGTTTCTAAAATTTCGAATTCGAATATTTCGAATATTTTTTTACTTCAGGTTCGATAAATTCGAAGATTTCGAAATTCTTTGTAAAAAAAATTCGAAAACTTCGAACGCTTCGAATTTTTATAGACATGAAGTTCGAACAATTCGAAGATTTCGAATTTCTTTTGGCATAAAGTTCGAAAAGTTCGAAAGTTTCGATTCTCTTTTAACGCTAAATTCAAAAAAAAAAAAAAAAAAAAAAACTTTGAAGATTTTGAATTTTTTTAAATCCAAGTTTTCAAAGTTTGAAGTCCGATTTTCAAGTTTTTCTACAGTTTCAGTTTCAAATAACGTTTTCACGACTCACTTGTTTTCACAAAATCAAGTTTAGAAAAGTTAGGGTGTGATATCTAGATTCTGCGAAGTTGGTAAGGCAATTAAATGAGACGACGAGTGTCCCGGACGTGCTAGAATATTTGCCAGTGCAGAATTGTGACCGCCAGCCCCCCGGGGGGGGGGGGGGGGGGGGTCTTTATCACGCAGTAGTGATTGCACGAACACACTGTTTTACGAGACTCATCCAGTTCGAAACGGCCAGGGGCGAGCAGGAGGTTGAGGCTCAGAGAAACCTTGAAGCGACCTGGCAAACTAGCTCGCCACCCCTTGCACGCTGGTAGTAATCCGATCCGATGAAGTTTATAATTGTACTGGAGGTTTATTTTCTGGGACGGAAGAATCGCCTCGCAAAAAGCACGAAAGCCGACACAACTCGAGGTCGAGGAGCGTTCTACCATACAAGTGGCGTCGGAAGAGGAAAAACGGGGGGAAAGAGGGTAGCTTTGGGGGGGCTTCAGCCTCCTTCTCCCCCTTGCAGGTATTTCGGACTGTTAAAGAAAACAATACCGGGAAAGAGGGCGTGGTCGAGCTTATTTTAATCTGAAATTATTTATGCATATGTATAGCTACTGTCGCTCTTCACTGCATAAAAGGTTGCGTAGATGGTCATTGTTAGAAACTCCTTGTCAGAAGGCACTGCTCGTCACATGCTTAGTGGTTCGGAAGTTCAAAGCTGTCTTTTCGACCTAAACACCTGTGCCGATAGTAACAAAAGAAGAAAAAAAAGAATAAATGCGGGAATAAAAAGCAGGAGAAAAAAAAACTATCAAGAATTCGTCGGAAGTGTTCTATTCTTGCATATTCAGAGGTTCAGAACTTCGAAACAAGTTTCTTTTACCAAAATGTGTACAGGCTAAAAGAAACACGTCCCAGGAACGTGAAGCGAAAAAAAAAATTTTTCTTTTAATGAGGTGCTGAACTTGAACAATACTAGAAATCTTCTGCCATGAGTTAATTTATTCCTTAACGTGAAAAAACAATAAATATATTATTTTGTATTCTGCAGATGGCAATGATATGTACTGTCTGTGGTGTTAATTTAAATGCGATACCTCAAACAACTTAGACGAAAATAAATATCAAGTTTAGGTCATAATTGCATGCAGATACATGTTTGGACATTTCTTCGAAACTCACGTTGAATAACAATAATCACATCTTAAGACGGCACTTACCTACGCTATACATAGATCATTCTTAAAAAAAAAGTATAACATATCTACCATAAATAGCTCCGGCTGCAGCGTGCTTCTAATCTGGCACAAACGATAATCGTCAAAAACCCGTCGTCCGTCCTCGCCCCTTCGGGGATTTATTTCTTTAAACCTAAGCATGCCAGAACATTGAAATAAATGACATTGTCTTTCGTAAGGAACGCAGCACCGCGTGTAAAAGTTCGAGAAAAAAAATTACGAATGTACCCCACTACTTGAAATCAAATGAAACCGTCCGCCGGTCTTTCGAAGTTCGACGAACGTCGAACTTTTACCCTATAAGTTCGAAGTTCGTCGAACTTCTGACTTTTCAAAATTCGAAAGTTCGAAACTTTTCGAATTTTCTTGATAAATAAGTTCGAAAGTTCGAAATTTATCAAATTTTTTGGTCAGTCAAGTTCGAAAGTTCGACAAGCATCGAACCTTGCAGCGCAATAAGTTCGAAAGTTCGAAAAAGATCGAATTTTTTAGCGTAATAAGTTCGACGGTTCGAAAAGCGTCGAACTTCTTAGCTTAACAAGTTCGAAAATTCGACCTCCGTCGAATTTTACGATATAGACAATTCGAAAAATCGAAATCTTTCGAACCTTTCGAACCG